ACACACACACACACACACACACACACACACACTCAAGCCTGCGTCCATTTGAACGTCCTGAGATGAGAGAAGATATTCAACCTGGGAGAAGGAAAAATGCTCAAATTTGCATAAATTTGAATTTCAGCCTTCGCATACGACTTTCTTTTATACATATTATTTATTTGTCACTTATCAGATTTGAATGATATCACGAGAAAATCTACTTGTTGGTCGTCGCATTGCTGTCAGTTTGGCACTATTTCGTATAAAAATTGGATATTGCGTGAAGTAACTCAAAACCACCCCCTTTCCAAAAAGATCTCTCGTCTATTCGAATGTCCTTGATGATGGTTAAGTTCATGAAGAATATGTAGTTACAGAAAGACTTCCTTTGACAGGATTGCAACCTTATTGACATCCTGAACTTCCAACATTTTGTAACAAATCGCCTAGTGTTCAGTCCTTGAATAGTTCCCACAAAATTACACTTATTGATTCTCCTGAGGAATTTTGGACTACAATGGTTAACATACATACGTACATGCATAATTTAGTCACACAAATATATGCATACAGTGAATACCAAATACACAAGCATACACCAATGCAGACAATTTACAAACATGCCATTGCTGGCCGCTACTGCGCCTCGCCATAGCTGAAGCTACAACATCAAATGAGGATCCTTGAGTCCCTGATTATAAACGAAAAGATTTCTCCTGGAACACACTGACCTGTTCTAAAGTGCATAGAAAAACCCTTCTAAAGCTTTGTGCTGTTTTTAATTGTTGGTTTGTTTTTTTCTACATAAACCAAATTATGCAAAGAAGCATTTATCAAGACTTGCATCAGCAGTGTAGCCGTATTTCGCACAAAAGCAATTATTGCCTCAAAAACCACAAGCAAAAATAGAAATAGCTGAGACGCCAAATTCCCCTTTTGTCCAGGGCGTTGCGGTTCATTGCGTGACAGAACTGTCTCCTTGTTTTAAGATTTCCTTGGCACCCACTTGCTGGCCTGAAGTGTTTGTGATAGCCAGGGGGAATAACTGCGTATATCTAGGGCGATGTGCCACCGACGCACACTAAAAATTACAACTTTGAACTTTAGGCCCAATTTTGACGGACTTGTTTTTTTTTGTTTTTTTTGGGGGGGTTGTGTTGTTTTTTCTT